CAATGTTAGCTAAAGCTGCATGTACAGCAATTTCTAAACTTCAATCGCCTAAGGAAAATGGTAAACGTAATCAACGGTTATTGGAATTAGCCAGATTAACTGACAATTTGTTTCATTCGAACAGCAAGTTAACCAGTATTTGGAAACTATATGGTCATCCGGATAGTCCGTTAAAACACTTAAGATTCAGAGAAAATAATACTTTAGGTAAACTTGAGGCTGTTGTCCAAACTGCTTTTGATTGGACTGATGAACGAAATTTGAAAGCACCTCCTTTATTGTTGACAGTATCAAGGTTAGTAATGCTTAATTGCACGCTAATTCATATCGTATTTATTCCTAATGTTATAGCTAATATCCAAAGATTTTTTGTGCAAAGATATTGCGACAGTTTATAGTAAGAAAACAAGAATAGTACATCACATGATGTGCAGTCCAGTTGAAAATGAAACCAGAAGCCTCTCAGTCAAGAATGCTCCTCAAACTATTTTAGAGAATGATAATACTAAAGCAAAATCCCCACTGGTTATTACTTTCGGCCTTCTCAAATAACGTTTCAAACCATTGAGTTGTATGGTGTTTAAGACTCAAACTAGGGAGTTGTGAGAAGCAAACAGATGTCAGCACTAGGCAAATTCCATCCCGTAGCTTCATGTCACACACTGACTACCTTCTCTCTTTTCACCCCGTCCCAGGTTCGGCAAATAATGCACAGTATAGAATGGCGTTCGTACACATGCCTAAGCCACCGAAACGAGTGTTTCAAAGTGGCGACACTAATTGTTGTCACCAAGGTCAAACACACTTCTCATATCTCAGCATTACTAACACGGTGTTGCCACTAGAAATCAGCAATCCTTAAGCGAGAGCAATGATCGGACATAATGTGTGGCGAATACTCTCAGCTCAGAGATGCCAGGTTTCGCAAGTATAAAGCAAACTACTCCCACCCGACGTGGTTTAGATCCGATCTTTTAATGCCAGACTAGTATCATGAAGGAACCAAAGGTGTGTCAGATTGTCATAGACCACTCTGGCTTTTACTAAACGCAGTGACCTCATCATTTACGTCACCATCAGCACTCACATAAATATCTAGATTCTCAACCCTTTCAACTGCCTCGTTCGTTGCTGTTTCCAAATATCGATGAAAAAGTCGAAGAGGACGAGTGGAATTGGGCAACAGTGCAACAATATCGGTGACTACTGCATTGAAAATTGGTACTGGAAAGAAACAGGTTGTGACCTCCACAAAGCTCAAAGAGACAGTCACCTCTATCTGACATGGAAACAACGAGTCCCTGTTGGCTACCAAGCGGCTCTACTCTGTGTATAGACGGTCGACCTGTGCTTCGAATCCCCGGTTAGTACTACTATTTCTGTCGAATGTGCTTCACTGACATCGTTTATTTGACGGTGGAACTCATCCTCGATCGCATCTGGGCTGCAATCTGTGGAGACGTAGTCAAGGATCACGAAACGACATCGTCCCACATGCCAATTTCTATCCACTTTGGTGGTGTTTTGTAATCAAACAGGACACACGACTGACAATGGGGACCCGCTCGACTAGTATGACCTTTACCCTGCCGCCTGCTGCGACACCGAAATCAGATATTAGTCCCATAGGGTTAGAAGAGTCTCGTAAACGGGTCTTGGAAGTAAACTATGCATCAGAATTAAGACTTCCTGGAAACGAAATAAAACCTATGTGTTTTCTAATCTGCTTCCGTATGAGAACATTGAGGTATGCCAGATTAAGTCGTACATTTTGCCTCACAGACGCTGATTCAAATATGATTGATATTATAATTGAGAAATACGAGCACTCATCAACCTGAAGTTGTTCAGATATGACGGAACTTTTAAAACAGACGAAGTGTTAAACAATCCGGAAAATAATAGTACACCCAAAGAATAGATACAATGAAGTAAAAAATTGAAAAAGTAAATGAAATTCTTGTGCAGTAGAGTTAATGTAGGTATTGTTTGACAAGGTAGCAAGGTGGAACGAATGGAGCGGTTTCCCCATGATTAGGCATCGACATATTTCTTTGTGGGTTGGAATAGTACTCGAACGTCCAAACCGAAGCGTTAAAAAAAGTAAAATCACAACTACCTTCATTTGCATTATAGCAAACTGATCCACTATTATCTTCGGCAACATGCCAGAATGTCAATTAACTTGTTTGAGTTTTAAATTGTTAAGATTCTAAATTTCAAATCAATTACTCATAATAGTTTGGTCTAGCTTCATGTTACTGCATTACTGACAACCTTCTTAATCTTTTATTAAATCGTCTTTTTTTCAGATATACGTATAGTATAAATTTCCCTGCTCCACCTCCAAGTATTCGTATTGCATTGAATTGTGATTTAACTAATGAAGAATTGCGTCATCTATTCTATGTTCTTTCTTCAATAGTTCCTGCATGAATCGACCAGTAAATGATGAAATTTACATTCAGTAATGTTGGCTGTGAAACATTTTAACAAAACATGATATTTGTCCCTGTAATCTTATGGACGTCACTAGCTCAATAATATTATATTTTTAGTTTTTTGTAAATGTCTCTTTAGTAATAAACAGGTTAAATATAATTAGCGTTTTTGCGTAATCCCTTGATTATTTTCCCTTTAGTACTTCGTTGAAGCTTTAAATGTAAAGTAACGGTCTAGTTTTGTCTACCTGTCTGGATACTCATCACATAAGCGTTGTATGATCCAAGATTTTTATCACACACTGTGAATGGACATGTATATAATAGGCATGTTTTCATATATGATATACGATAAACTTTCTTGATTGTTGAATACGAAATAAATATCTACTGAATTTAGCCTGCTATAGAAAACAAATAATCAGTTGATAATTGGTCAGGATAAATAAAAGTGCGACTTTACAGACATTATTGGAATAAGCTCTGCAATTTAAAGGACCACAAGATTTCCTCCATAACAGAAATTCGAACATCAGATTGACCGAATTTCAATGAAGTTTAGCTAAATCCAGTCCTTATTGCAATTAAGAACACTTAATTAATTCTTAAACTATAATCCTTCTTGAAAACCGTTTATACAGTCAGACAAATCAGCTCAAGAGGAAAACACAGGGCATATAATTGGTAGAGGTTATAGCACCCATCAATCCAAGCCTAACCCTTATGCATAAAAGCAGTACGTTCAGCTATTACTGGACTATTTTCTTAACCCTCCTATCTATCTTTCATAACCAATCACTTGCTACCTAATCCTTTCCTACAACTGATTTGTCATCGTTACAACTTGATCATTCTGCCCTTAATATGTAAACGAACAAGTATCTTCACCTCGACACTTTTCATTAGCCGATAATTTCACAACTTGCTTCTAATATCTGATTTTTGTATTCAACTCACTATCCTATGACTACTCAACACTATTCTATTTTACTACAGACTATTATTTTTAGTAAATACGACTGTACAGCTTAACTCAATGAAACCGTCAAAAATAACATCTTTAATATAGGGTTCTGGAGATTGTTGAGTCTTGATTGAGATCATAAACCTGGAAGCACTGGACGAGTGTTTCGTCTTAATATGGGACTCGGCAGTGCGCATCCACGGACCTGCACGCAGGAACCGGGCCCAGGATCTTCCCTCTCACACCTAGCCGGCTTCCAACGGTGGTAATGTCCAACTTCAATCAACCCACGATATTGCGCGACTGTCTTCGGTGAGTCCCAAACTAGGGCGAAATGGCCTTCCAGGTTTTCAATGTTGATGTAACATTGGGCGGTTCATGATCTTAATCACCGAATAGACTTTATTCTTCTTTGTACTATGTTCCAAGTTTTCATAACTGCAATGAAATCAGTGAACGGGAAACCACTGACAAAGACGTTTCGCGTAACCATTTGGTAGGGAATCCAACTTGTATATTCTTATCGCATATACTTACATAGAACATTGAACCTGATTTAGAAAAGGTGACGTGCAGAACAAATCAACCTGATATCTAGGATCGTTTCATTAGCTAGTAAACGGTATACAGTCAGTAATTTACAACCATTTATATGCTGAACAACTTTTAATGATGTTTATTTTTGTGCTACATAGCAGGTAAATATGAGCGTCATATTTTGCTGGATAGACTTACTAACCAGCTATTGTGTCTTCTATTTATTTATTTGGAATACTGGTTCAATATTTTTGTGAGTGACCGTCGGTCAGCCAAAAACTCCAACAGAGCTGATCGATAAATATGTACGTCCTAGCCTTGTACCTCCGTCGTAAGAAGTGGCGAGTGATACTGGCAGTTAGGGCAATGTCAGTTTAATTCGATGAGTTGAAAGTAACTCTACAGTTTAAACATAAGCACTTTATTTTAGCTGGTCGATTACAAAAAAATCTCTCAGATCAACAGTACACTGTTTCTACAAACAAACCACTCAATGGACTAAATGAGTGGACAATTAAAAACAATATTTGAAAGTTTGCGAAGTGAACTTCGTGCTCGTAGATCATACAATGGATCGTGACACTTACACTCTGATTCTTCTCATATCACAAAATAAACATTTGCTGGTTTCCTAAATGTGCAGAAAATTCATACAGTTTAATCTTATTTCAATTCATGGTAAACCCTTTCCAACTCACAGATGAAAATCGTATAGGTTTAAGATTACTGAAAAAATATTTATGTTACACCTGACTGCTTGTTTTCAGAATAAGAGCAAACATAGTGATGCTATAGGATAGGTTATCAGTATATTTACATCTGGAATTTTTAATTAGAAATAAAATAATTTAAGCTAGAAGATAGATGAGTCTCCACAAATATGGGAATGAGTATTCAGTGCTTAAGTCAGGTAAGTAGGTCACCTGTGGTGGTTGAATGTCACAACTTTACCCACTTATTTGCGTCCAATGGGTTCCACTTATCACATTATTTCTATACATACAAACAGAATTAAAGATAATTAACCGAATCTTTTTCAGAACATGCTTCATGATACATAGTTGAAAAACATATAACTTAAAATGTTAAATTTATAACATTCTGAATATTTATAAAACAAATTAGTAAAAACAATCACTTGGTGACTGAAATCATTAACGAGAAAGATTACTGAAGTAATGTATCTTTGAAAATTTACCAAGCTGTTTGAAACGACAGGAATAAACAGTAAACACGATATAAATGAGGCAAAATTAAAGGAGGTTCATTAAAAGACGAATAACAGACAAAAAACAATAAAGTTAACTGTTCTCAGCAAAAAGTTCATATATCTAAATATAATTCCATGTAAACGAACCATAGGTATTGTAATTAACTTCATCCTTCATGTTTTACACCACCACGCTTAATTCGTTTATTTGGAGAAAAAACACCTTTGTAAACAATAAAAAGTAAAGTATAAATTGATTAAACTTATAAATGTAATTTGATTTCGTTACATGTTTGCCAGTCACTTACCCTACACACTTTGTAAAGTCGAAGTAGTTGATGTGAAGTTCTGTAATATGTGTCCTGGTAACCACGAGTCGACTGAATTAAACTACTGATTTACAAAGGTATATCACACACATATATCCATTTATCCCCACAGTCATCAGATCGTTTGCACCACACACCACATCAACAAAATGGTGGTTACCATATTGGGGTAGTGCATACTTTTTTCCTTAAAAAGTATACTTAACCTTCTTGATGTAAAGATAAATTTTTACAGCTATTTAAGACAATTCCGTGGCATTTAGTGCACAACCATTTCACAAAAGGAAAAAAAACTATCTGAGAGATAACAGCATAAAACAACTATATATATATATTCATATAAACTGCCACGACTGAACTTCCAGTTTCGTTCTGATGGTTGATTATTTTCTTGAATCATACTGATACAGGAAACTTGACCAATTGTATATTTACACATATTTACCTACATGTAGTGTATCAATAAGTTTACAACTGAAAACATAAAAAAAGATGAATATATATACATATTTGAGTATCAAGAATATGTAGATACGTACCATCAGACGAATTCAAATGAGGAAAGTCAGTGAAACTTTGAATATCTACTGGGCGTTTACCAACAATGCTTTGATCGAGATGTACTGAAGACCTTTTTTGAGCAACTGCAGCAAGTGATTGCATATCGTTTGTAAGTCCACTATGTAACACATCGGCAGAAGGCCCAGAAAGCATTCTATAGGAGATAACATAAATAATCAAAATCTGATATACTGGAAACGAAATTTAAAACATTAGCAGTTTGGATAGGTAAATGTTACATAAAAGTGATTGTAATTGTACTTTTTTATGACTAATATTCTCATTATTACAGTTTTTAAACATTTTATTCCTTATTTGTGTCCATTTTCGAAAAAATTTCATAACATATACACTTCTATTGACTAATGTTGCAAGTTTTCTGATTTCTAATGATTGTGTTTCAACTTGAATGAGACTTTTTAGTGTTACTTCTAATTACAAACAAAGGTCTTTGCTTGAAACTTGGACTGTCCAATTGTATCAACGGTTTGGTTAAATATACGGAAGCTTTTCACACAATGTTTGGCAGTTTGACATTTCAGTAATCAAAATATCAGAAAAATAAGTAAAAATGCTATTTTGTATGGTTACATATGATGATAGAAATAAATAAGCAATCAAATACACAAAGAAATGAGCCTACATAAGTGATTTACCATTTACAAAATGAATTTATCTATGTGTAACAATTTATGGGTTCATTATCAGTCAAACTTGCGATATAATATGCAATCAAATCGACAAATTAGAAAAAGACAGTGTAAACCCACTTAGAATTTCGCGTTATTCTTCGGTTTTCATGAATACTAGACGAGCCAGTCAAAGTGTCCTCCTCTTCCTCTTTAGGTGCAATAGTTGGAAAACGTTCCTCTTCTTTACAGTGTCTTGGATTCGATTGTAATGTATCTTCATCTTCATCGTACTTACGATACTGATGACGGCTGTATGAAACGTTAATAGTTGGTGACGCTGTAAGATCCTTTGGACTTAGAAATGTACGAGACAGAGGTTGGCTATGGTTTACTAAAGCAATATGATATTCCTCTGGGTTTATATTTTCAGTGTCACTGGATGCACCACTTTCCAAAACCCATGATGAACCAGAAAAATTACTCGAGAGATCAGTTGATAAGGAACGCCAAGTATCTTCAAAACTAAAACATAATAAAGCTCGGTTTTTAAGTGTTACATTGCAATTTAGATCATGCGATCAAAGAGACTAATAGCAAAAACAATGGATAAATTAGCAATTGCACAGTTTTTGTTATACAATAGGACACAGTATTTAGTTGTGTGAACCAAAGTATACAAGGTAAACATATACAATAGGTGGTACGTAATAAGCGGTAAAAAATAAGCTGATTGCAATACCTTCGTCTACATACAGTCCCGCGTCCAAACCCTATCCTTGGGAAGCCTTACTCGCTGCGAGGGTGCTGTCTAAGCGGTGAGAATGAAAAAATAAAGTCAGATGCCTAAACTGAGTTGCTGAATACAAAGAGTTAAACCCCAGAAGTTGGGAACCCTGATTCCAAACCAATGATATTACATCGGCTCCAGACCCTGAAGGAACAATTGCATTTAATAATTCCTAAACATTCGTTCATCAAATCATAATACAAGACACTAATGTAATTCCCTGTCTTCCAAAAGTTGCTGCAGCGGGTAGATGCCCAGTACATTCTCATATACATGCCCCCAAATGCCCTGGTACGGCCGAGAGTGGGGAGAGTCCGCTCTCCCTCTCGAAATACTCTCACACAGACACGCGTATACAGCCTCTGCCACGGAAGTCCTACTCATTGCCTTCTCGTGGCAGGGTTGTTTACGAAAATGAGAGCACGAAAAGCGAATGTCCGGCGCTTTAACCGGATTCCAAACCAATGGTGCACATGGGCTCCAGTATCCTGAAGGAACAAATGGCGTATGAACCAATCGTTGGTCACCGGTTACCATGGGACTGCATCTCCTTACGATGCTCCACTGCCTTATGGGTTAGACCTTTAGGTCAAAGGCTCGGGGTGTGGCCTCCTAAGATAACCACCTGCTTCGGTCTGGGCACCCGGGCAGTATCACAGCCCACACACAAATATGATGAACTGCCTATAATTATGGAAACTACTTTACTTGCTTCAACTAACAATCAAATGATTATTATTATTATTTACCATATTATTCACCCTCTTTTATACTTATACAGCGGCTCATCTTTGATGGAAATTCGACTGTATCTAAACGTTTTCGAGTCACTGTCCGGTTGAAAATTGTATGTTACCACCGAATGAGTACTGAAGCAGTTTTTCTGAAACCACGTGCACCATTCAAACTGGCTGCCTTCAACGTTCGCACACTTATGCATGTTGGACAACAGATAGGACTGACTATGTCTTTGGAAAGCCTTAATATCGATGTCTGCTGTCTATCCGAGACCCGTATTCAAGACTCTGGTGAAGTACTACAAATTCGCTCTTCATCTGTCGCTTCAAAAAGATTGTTTTACGTGTTTTTCCGTGGACCCTGTGGCATCTTTGTCTGGTCTTGCTCGCCTTGGTGTCGCACTAAGCGCTAGAGCTGAGGCAGCACTAAGCGATTGGATCCCCATTAACAGTCAGTTATGTGCTGTTAAATTAGAAAGTTCCATCAAAGTGAGAAGAAATCGACGTGAGAAACGATGTCTCTTCGTCATCTCCGCCTATGCCCCGACAGATTGCAGCCCGGATGCAATCAAGCATGAATTCTATCACCAGTTAACTGTTCTTCTCCAGAAAGTGCGTTCGACAGATGTTGTAGTACTAGCCGGAGACTTGAATGCTCAGGTCGAGCGTATAGACACAGAAGAGAGTCGTTTAGGTGACCGATGGAGACTTATTGGTCGCAGGACAGATAACGCGGACCGTCTACTGCAACTGTGCACAGACCACAACCTGTTTCTGGCTAGCATTAACTTTCAGCACAGTCATCGCTGATGTGCCACCTGGCGTCCTTCCTCTGCATCTCAAGACTGGACTCAGATTGATCACATCGAGATCAGCTACCGCTGGCGTGGTTGTGTACAAGATTGCCGCTTCTTTCGGAGTACCTATCTGGACTCTGACCATGCCTTGGTCTGCGCCAATCTTACCTTACTTTTCAGTGGACAACGAAGTGACCGCCACCAACGGATTGATGTTAGCAAGCTGGTTGCAACTTCTGTTGCAAGTAAGTATCGAACCGAGCTAGTTTCTAGGCTAGCTACCATTCCACCGAAAAGTATAGATGAGCATTGGTCGCAATTGCATGACCCCATCAAAATGGCGGCTACAGTCATTTGTGGGTTCGCGAAACGTCCCGCTTACAAGCACTGGGTTTCTTCAGGTTCCTTACAACTCATTGAAGCCCGTCGATCTACTCCGGGTGACCGTGAGTTTGACCACAAGCTACGACTGTTACGTAATGAAATCGGGCGAAGCTTGCTAATTAGCTGGAAGCAGCAGCTGCATCTGGTAATTACCGGAAGCACTTCCAACTTATCCGAGCCACTGGCAGCAAGAAGTCTGGTGTGAGTGAAACAATCTGCGAGGATGATTGGATGCCAATCACTAACATCCATCGACGTCTTGGAAGATGGGCAGAATTTTTCGAAGGGCAGCTCAACTGGCTGCATTCAATTGGTTGAACAGGACTGTTCTCTGGGATTGTCTATTGAAGTAGGTTGTGCCTGAGAAGTTTACTAACATCCTAAAAGACCTATATACAAACACCTCAGGCAGAGTGAGGGCATACAACCACCTCTCTCCATTGTTCCATTCGAGTAGTGGTGTTAGCAGGGTTGCCCAGTCACACCATTCCTCTTCAACTTTGCCATCGACGACATTCTGGGAACAGCTCTGATGGATGTAAGTAATGGCGGCGTAGATCTGTTGCCCGGAGAAAGATTTCTCGACCTTGAGTATGCGGATGATATTGTCTTACTGTGCGATAATGCCCAAGGCATGCAACCCGCACTTAATCAGTTGGCAATCAGTGTCCGTAGGTATGGTATGTGCTTTGCACCTTTGAAGTGCAAAGTACTTCTACAAGACTGGCAGGATTCCAATCCTGTACTCACCCTGGATGGTGAGCAGATAGAAGTAGTCGAGAAGTTCGTGTATCTAGGTAGCTGCATAAGTGCTGGTGGGGATGTGAGTGGTGAGATCAATGCACGTATAGTGAAAGCCAGAGTGGCTTATGACAATCTGGGCCTTCTTCGGCGCCTTCGTGGTGTCAGTCTGGCTGTAAAAGGTCGGATCTAAAACGCGTCGGTGAGAGCAGTTTTGCTCTATGCTTGTGAAACCTGGGCTCTTCGAGTTGAGGATGTTAGACGACTCTCTGTGTTCGATCATCGTTGTCTCCGAAGGATTGCTGACATTCAGTGGCAACACCATGTCAGTAATGCAGAGGTTCGGCATCGTGTGTTCGGGCACAGAGATGATAATTCAATTGGTGTTACCATCTTGAAACACCGACTTCGGTGGCTTGGACATGTTCTACGAATGTCATCCCAGAGAATTCCACGTCGTGCATTATTTGCTGACGCTGGGACTGGTTGGAAAAAGCGGAGAGGTGGTCAGTGCATGACATGGTGTCGTGGCATGAAAGAAAGCTGCAAAGGACTGGCTTGTGTTGGTCCTTCACGACTCTCTGGTTGGGGTCCGAGAGATGGTGCAACACAGTGGCCAGAGACGTTATCAGATATGGCTCAGAATAGAAGCCAGTGGCGATCCTGCTGTAACCTTCTTTTACTTTCTCCGTAAAAGGTGGTTGTATGTTCCTTAACTGAAAGATTTTTTCTGATTGTACCTTTCCGTTCCCTCATTAGTAATACACTACCTTACACCAATCTCTTCGTTATTGTTATCTTTTTTCACGCTCCTTACCTTTTACTCTCTTTGAATTTTCACTGTTTTGTGTGGCGCATATTTATTTGGCGCACTCTTGTACCAATATTCATGTGTTGAAATAAATAAATAAATACTCTCATATACATAGATGTATTGGTTTTTTAAAATCTCTAATATGTAGTTAAGCTCCTCACATTTGAGAAAAACTTTACAATTTGCCTGAAAACTTATATAAGCAAGCATAAATAAATGACAGAAGACTATAAACAAATGAATAACTTTCTGGATGAAAATTATTTCAATGCCTCTTCCTTAGAAGTTACGAAAGATGCCGTAAACCGCGTTTTTGATACGCTATACATAATTAGGCATATGAACACGAACAAATGGTAAACTGAAATATCTGTTAAAACCAAAAAAAGCTGAGTGAGAGATGTCATTCGTCAGCTGTTATTTTACAATCTATAAAAACTGTAACCTACTAAGTAGAACTGTATGTAATCAGTAAAAACTATGATGTATCTGACTAGTTAAATCATTTTAAAAAAATTATAAGTAGATCCTTTTTAATCGACCAAAATTAGTGTTTTAGTTAATTAATTTAATTAGAGGGTTACAAACCTGTGCAATATTTTCACAGTTTAGCAACAAGAACACTAAATGTACCGATGTAGATGACACAAAGTACCTACATGTTGATTGTAAAGAGAAATAAGATGAACAGCCACATGACTTGATGATACCTCATAATCTGTATTAATCACAAACTACTGTTAATGACAGGAACAGAGTTTAAAGACATTTTGCTGATGCTTATAGTGTGAAAGTTCAAACAGGTTTTAACATTTCGGAATCGATATCAACGAATAGGATTACACTTTTCGTCAACTGACGATAAAAAAAACCACGGAAAATTCGAAAAAATAGGACAAAGTCGAATGGAAATTTATGTACTAGATTCTGTTAAGCGACGAGGTGAAATTTTATAGCATATAACAAACGGATTGTTATCTTTATGATTGGGTAATAACCCGGGAATGCAAGTAAGTTGGTATTCTTATAGGTATATACTGAGAAAACACGCTTGCATAGCACTAGATCATGATAGAATACACCTTTAAAATCAGAATAACATTCAACGAAATAACAATAACAGTAATAATAATGATAATGGAAACTCACTTAAGATTATCGAAATTATGTAAATGTTTGCGCCACTTCCGAATCATCCCATCCCATGCTCGGCGAGAAACTTTACGGAACTTGTTGGGAGTACGAGGATGATACTTCTGGCGCTCAGGTTTTGGGATACTCAACACATATTCAGCGTAGCGTTCTGTCACTTTTCCCATATCAATGTCCTTCTGCCTCCTCAACAATTCCATTTGCCTCCTTTCAAGTTCAATGGGTTGCTGTGTTTCCCCCTATACACAAAAAATATCAGAAACTTCACTAATGGTAATGGCTTTTTACAAACTAAAAACAAGGAGGGAAGGATAAGAAATGGGGTAACAGGTACATAATTTTGGCCTTGACAAGCAAATACTTCGATCTTAACATTTTTCCCTCGATACCAATGGAGACACTGCCCAGGATTTATTTCAAAACATAAGTACAAGGAGGTACCGAATACATATGCGCCACAATTCGTCATCCGACTTGTGTGAGGGCTGTAATGCTGGCCGGGCGCCGAGACCGAAGCAGATGGTCTTTTTCAGGGGGCCACTCTCCGAGCCTTTGACCCAGAAGTCTGGTCCACAAAGCAGTGGAGCTACGTCGAGAGATGCAACTCCATGGCAACCGGTGACCAACAGGTGCATACGCCATTTTTCCTTCAGGATACTAAAGTCTATGTGCGCGCATTGGTTTGGAATCAGGGTTTTCCAACTCAGGTGGATCCTCCGTATCCACCAACCCGGTTAAGGCGCCGGAAATTCGATTTTCGTCCTCTCAATTTCGTAAACAACGGCCCCGCCGCAAGGCAGTGGCTTTATACGTGTGGTCAAGTGAGGGCATTTCGAGAGGGGGGCGGACTCCCTCCACTCTCGGCCATACTAGGGGATTTGGAACTCGTTACCGAGAAAGTTTAATGAGAAAACAAATCTTCAGAATTCAGTGATCGCCTCCAGCCTAATAAATAAAACAATTGTCATAAATAAAGATAATCCACACAACCGTTTCATGAAGGACATTTGTGAGTGATTCAATGGTTAAAATAATACTGCATTTGCAAGATATTTTAGTGCCAGAATACTGAGTGGAATAAGGGTATAGACTAACTCAGTTACTAAATGAATACATGGTCTGAAGTAGTATGAATCCATTCCAATAGAGAACATATCAGGGAGTTGAATGTTATGCATTAATCAGACGTATATACGTTTAGTTTCAAATTTTTAGTTGAACTTTAAATTCGACTTGGACGCAGCCCTAACCTAGTACAGATGTGCATCAGCCATACCAAGCTAGCATAGCATGCTGAAATTCACAGAATGATTTGAAAAGATGTCGAAGTTATGTTTATCAGTGGGAGACTTAGCAATGGTTAAAGAAGTATGTGTGGAATGAAACACAATAAATGAATGTATATTTGTCCACTAACAGCGTTTATCTTACGAAATCCTACCCCAGTAATCTGAATCTCCCATCAGAGCTTAATTTAGAGGTTAATGAACCGACGGGTAGACAATATTTTCAAGATAATAGCACAGTACAGCAGTACAGGAACTAACGATGAATTTTGAGTCATATACGCAGGGAACCTGAGACGACAGTATGGCTAAGCAGTGTTTCAGATGTAACTACAACATTGCCATTGGGTTCATACCCATGGTAATAGAACCCACAGTGAGAAAGGTGATGAATGAAGTTTAATATATACGAAGCCAATTAAACAATCGAGGTAAAATAAGAGGTGTTAGTCTTTCTCCATGATTACTGCTACTCATGGGTCAGTGTGTTAATGTAGATAAGGTACCATCTAACAAATCCCATCAAAAAGTCAGAACAAGACAGTATCAGTTCATAAAGGCAGTTGCAGACTACCTGGTCGAGGCTCGCGTGATTGTCAGAATTACCGGTTAAACTTTGATTACCATGGCTCAGAACCATCTGCAATAGTCCAGGGACACCCACTGTCTTCCCTTGGATCCTAAGTTTCTGAATTACCTGATAAAATGTATCGCAATAACCCACATTTTCTCTTCGGACACTACCTCTTATGCCAATCCTTCCTGCTACCACTAACGCTTTTGTTACCTCCACTTTGGGATTTATTTTGATAAGTTCATCGTTGTGCTAATGAGATTTATTACCTTGAACAGGTTCTAACTTGCGCATGAATAACTCCCACCAACCCAACTACAACGTGCACACACTTAACATCTGTAATTATAGAGCTCCCCGCAAACCAAGGCGAAGTATATGACAAAAACGGCACATATAAACTTAAAATAGCGGAGTTTAACAATATTATGACACAGTTTGATCCAACGTTTAAGCGATATTTCGTCAAAAAAATTTTAGTCGACAGTAGGGGGTTGGGTTAATTACCGTTCAATGATGTTTATATGTACTGTTAAGTAAGTTACTGATCATGAAAATGAAAATAAGGATTCATGTCCAAGTGGTTTTAGAAACGTCTAACACTACTCAAGCGGTTAAAGCTTCATATACCTCGAGTAAATTCGTGACTAGAAAGACCGTTAAAATACCCAGGATTTGGATAAAAACTGAATAGTCTACACATTATCTTTTAGTTTTACAAAACTACTAATGAAAGATACCATGGTAAATGAAGGAAACCATTAAAAGCGCAATCACTTTTTCTATTAATCTTCGTTTCAGTTTTTCTTCATATCGACTCAGATCTTCGTCTGCATCGTCGGACAACAGCATATCGACCTTCCAGTCTCCTTGAGTGCGATAGCGGTCGAGGCGTTCCTGAGCGCGCCTGATTTCAATAAGTGGGTCATAGTTTGGATGGAATTTTCTGCGACTTCCAATCTGTTGGGAGTCAAATTAAGACTGTACGTACCGAGGACAAAATGCTTCGTGATCTATTGTGGTCATTGTATTCCTCTTTAGATCGGTGCCGGGTTCTGTATCTAGGAGTTGTCTCACAGTTCCTAACAGGCGTAGACATGCGGAAAGGGGTCGATGGGCTGACTTTCTGAGTAGATGACCTGCTATTTCTTACTGTCTGAGACGAAATTTCCAACTTTCGACCATTTTCCCGGTCATTATAATTTAATTTATCTACAGGACTTCGGATACTTATAAGCCAATTAAAACGATAATACCTTTGAGTCACTAACGGGCAGATACGCGAACGCCCTTTATTAATAGCCCCTAAAAAAACGGCATTCTTGACTGGAGCGGATTTTCTAGACCTGCGACGATCCTCCACAAGAGAAGACATTAGGTTGAAATTCTAATGGAGCGGCAAAACGATGTTATTTAGGATACCGCTCATGCTCAATATCTATTATGACATTAGTGTTGGGCAAAATAAATTTGTGTCATGATTACTTATGTATTAGTATCGATGGGTCGAAAATTTGACCACTAAAGTTTCCAAATAATGCTTCTAAGTTTCATGAAAGCAATGGGATTTCAGTAGAGACCTATTTGTCTTCGATCTGACGTCTTGTAACTTGACATGTCGTAGAATAGGCATAGAAGTCAGATTTAGGGAGTTTCAGTAGAATGGATCATGATTAGGTATAAGGTAAAAGAAAACTCCTTCTCTTGCTATCTAACCCATTCACAAGACGCCCGTAGTGTTGTAAGTGAACTCCAGTTAACTGAAAGTCACCAGTCTGATTCGTTAAAATGACCGATACAACCTTTCTACCTTCAGCCGGCTCAAGGAGTATGTTTATTAACAACAGGCTCTATGTAACAGACATTTTAGTGGTAAATAAGTCACCAAGATAGGTAGTTATGTGAGTGTTCGATACTTATGTTGACCTTATTAGTTTTACTGGACACACTGTAGTCGAAAGGAATCGCCCGAACATCTGTAGCAGATCATGACTATGTACCACATGTTACCTACTCCTCAAAACTAGTCAGCTTAGATCATATGCCTCTCAACACATTGATTATCATTCAAACATATCTTATAACCTCTTTATTCCTGAATTCGGATTTGCTTAGCTTTGGTATTCCCGATTATAAAAGGCGTAACAAACAACAACTTTGTCGAGCACCGAAAATCCGCGGCATCTTTACACTATGTTGTTATAAGCAGTTTGCGAGAAGGTATGAGCTAATAGAACTCAGAAAATTTAAATAGGTGTTTCGATAAAGTTTAGTAAACTGATCATTGCTTATACCAGGAACCCAAGGATTGGTCCGCTTATTCTGAGCGTGGATTTTTTTAACAGCGATATAAGGTAAATGTTAACTTTAAAGCGACTACTCGACAGCTGGCACTCGACTGAGTACTACAGGACACGATGCAACCTTCAATGGGTTTAATCCATGGTAGTTAATTACTTTCTGAGATATATGGTTTGTCGACATATGTTATTAATCCCGAATTCATTGGACCAAAAAGATACTACTAGTTCAAGGGACTCAAAGAAGCACTATGGGGATATCTCTTTGCAGAGGAGATGAAGTAGTACTCCTCTTCTAAAGCTTCAAATTGAAAGTCATATATCTATTGACCTCCTCCAATCAAATTTTTATTCGCCTTCCGGATATAACTCTTAAAAGTTGTTATTAACATTTTTCGCTCTATAGTGTAATAACACTCTTTCATCCCACATAAATGGGTATTACCGGATTCTATTCCTATTTTGAGCTTTGAGCATCAAAGCATGGGACAAAGTAAACACAGTGCTTGTAAAAGTTTTTAAGCTAATCAATATAAGGCTTATCAATGTTTTCTGAGCTGATTGATTAGGATAGCACATATTCAGTCTTCATTAACAATGCTTTAAGGAAATACTACTATCATAAGTGTACACTACGAATGACGTAAGATCCATGGCAAACTGGTGTTTTAACATTATGTCTTAGTGTAATTACGGAGCATGACACAAGAATTCAAAGTTAAAGCTTTCCACGTTGTCACCTTGCAAAATGAGAAATTATCTGATCACAAAGTCTCTCTAAGTAGTTCTGAGCATTTTCGTAGATACGTTCGGGGTACAACAAGTTCGCAGTTTTTCTATAGAGTGGATGTTTTATATCTGAGCACTAAACACTTCGTAATTACTGCCCAAGATAAAGGTATTCAAGCCTTATTTTTACCTTTCAAAAGGCAACTAAAGCAACATAACGAAAAGTGTCTAACGTTCAGGTTTTTGCTCTCATCCGTTATTGAAGTACGGTCGATTGATCTACTCGTAACTTATGACCTCAAATAATGATGGAACCAACTGACATTTCAGGTGCCAAAGTTTATTTGCAAGTTACAAATAATCAATCCAGTTTTCCCATGCAAAAATGTCAAAAATACCAAACCAAAACCAAAGGGAAAATAAAATTTCCGAGGCTAAAGATATAAACAAAAAGTTCAGAAGTTGAGCAAAACCAATACATCCAAAATACAGTGAGATTATCAATATATAATATAACAGCTTTTAATCAGTTAAATATTTTCAGTCCTGGTGTGAGGGAAAGAAGGGAAAAGAAATCACAGATTCTTTTGTCGTCTCCAATTGAAATAAAACTCTGAAATGTTCATAACTTTTAGACTCCCTTAATTCTCATATTTAAGTGCTCAACACAGCGAGTTATAAGGAAAAGCAACTTCAAGTTCAAAATTTGAAGGTTGTAACCTTCTTCAAGTAGTTTTCACTAGTTTTTCACTCGAAGTAAACAGGATAAGTTGACAGAAAGGATGACATTTATATACCGTTTCACTAATTTGACGCTTCACCTTAGCATTTACCTTACACCCTCTGCCTTAAGTTTCACGTCGTTCAGTTTATTTTGTTCATTAACTTGCACATAGTCTTTTATGACGAGTATCGCATTTCCAACTACCCTCAAACATTTATCATTAGCTCTAACGGTCGTCATTCATGTTTGACTTTTACACTAGTAAAGGCCAGCTAAATAAGTTTGAAAATATTCACTTCTTCAAGATAAATAATTATTGTTATATGCTAACTGAGTAGTTGTAGAATTATGTCCTATTTCGTATTAGTACCGCCATAATAATAGTCCTAATTCTAAAATTGTAGATTGACCACTGTATGAAAACTCAATCTATAAGGTCTTACATGGAAGTAACATCATTGTCTATTCTGACTCGTCGTACGTAACAATCAGTGACATGATGTTAGCGTTCCTAAATAACACATTTAGGCTGGAGATAGAATAACATATTGAGTATGAATAAAAGAGACCGGTTACACTAGAATGGCCACGTTTACAATACTGAGCCACGCCATCAATTCTATTGCTGACTTTTTCTCCGAGTTAAATGCTATATATTTATTATCCTATTCATGTCACATTCAGCTTTGAAGATTGTGTGTTTATGACTAATACCACTACATAGTCAAGCACATAATATTGGACTAGGTCTAATATTCCAACATAATAGATAAGTGCACCACTGCCGACCAAGACCTACATTCTATAATATGGAAATGTCGGTCCCACTTACATAATAATGTTTTATTCTCAAATAACAGCCTGTTACATGAGACCTGCCAGTTTACAGGCAATATTAAATTGTTACGGAGGATATAGTTTTCTCTGTGATGGGTTACTCAATGGGTTTGGTATTTTGTAAGGTACATTGATCATGAAATTATGGGAGATAACACTTCTCACAGACGAATGCAAATAATGTTTGTACGATCCGTGTTGTCAATATGACAGTTTAGAACAACATAAATAAGCGAACAATATTGTTTTCGATTAGATCCTCATCAGGCTATACTTCTAATATACAGTAATATTTATATGCATATACAAAATTATTAAACCAATCAAGGTAGTTTATGAGTCAATGATAACAATGAAAACGCTTACATAATAATTGAAAAGTGAAAAGTAAACATTGATAGTGTGATAACGGGTGCATTGGTTTTGATAATAATAATAAAGGCTCAAATCAATGTTACATAGTCGGAAATAGGTCAGTGATTAGAAAAATATAGACAGTGAGATAACATTTATAAAACTATAAGATGACGTAATAAGAAGTGTTCAGATAATTGGACGGTGAAACGTATGTTTGAGAAAAAATAAAATGAAATGGTAGGAGGAGGTGAAGAAAAATAATAGACGGAAAGTTTGAAAAAAATAATAAATAAATTGATTTATTAAGTCCAAGGGAGAGATAAGGGTGTTACAAATTTCTTCTGAACACAAAGACTTGGCTTGTTGGCTTGAATTCCTATGGCTTCTGCTATGTGTAAGAGATGGGATAGAACACTATAAAGAAAACTAGTGGGAATAAGATAAATAACTTTAAATGACTTGTTTCTGTCCACTACATGACCGCTTTCGGTCAAGTGTGATAGAACTGAGCTGCGTATCGTCTTGACATAACCTTTTCCTAACCATGAAGGGAAGTGTTCACCAAATCTTTGGTTCAGTTGCCTGGTAGTGCGCCCAATATAGCTTTCTTCACAGGAGCAGCTGAATTCGTAGATACACATAGACGTGGCATAACCAGGTAACATCCTTCAGTTGGAGAATCACCATAGATCGGGTCGAATACGATAGACAGAGTCTGGCAGCATTAAACGTCCTCTTTACTGCCATAGTCAGTTTATAACGTAAAATCAACAGTAAACGCAACCAATTAGCACCCCTAACACATGTATGGAGCCTTAATACTTATAAAAACCTTGAAAAACTTATAGCAGCACTGATTCTTAACCATACGGCCTTTAACGCCGAGAACATAGTTACTGAAAAGACTTATATCCGAAGACTAACATGGAGAGGTCAAAAATGGTGAACGCGGGAACACTATTCAATAAGATGACGTGGTTCAAATTTGTAGGAGTCGTCATTCTAGTGTGACCTGTCTCTTTCATTCATACTAAATATGTTATTCTATCTCCAGCCGAAATATGTTATTTAGAAACGCTAAACATAATGTTGCTCTTTATTACGTACGACGAGTCAGAATAGACAATGATGTTACTTCCATGTAAGACCTTATAGATTGAGTTTTCATACAGTGGTCAATCTACAATTTTAAAATTAGGACTATTATTATGGTGGTACTAATAACGAACTAGGACATAAATCTACGAACTCAATAAATCTGAACGTGACTTATATTTTGTAGCCGAAGTAACGAAAAGACTAATGTCTTCCCACAATGCGGTTGTGTACAATCTTCGACCTCATACTCTCAACTAAGTTAAGGTATATTTGTCTCAGAGCATGCAGTATGCTGAAGGTGAACTGCCAAGTAATCTGCCCGAGAAAAATTCCCATAAATCTACATGGCTC